GAGACAGACGCTCGGCCTTTCCTGCCACCCCCTCCTTAGCATTGTTCACATCATTTCCTGATGTGGTTTCATTACCTTTGCTTTTAGAGCTCTAACTGAGGTACTGCACACATTTTTATTGTAGATGCTGCATCATATGAGTTCTTGTGTTCTGGAACTTTACAAAATTTTATAGACGGAATTACATAGCATGTGTTCTTTAGGTCTGGCCTCTTTCATTCCACATAATTATTTCGAGACTCAGTTATGTTTGGGTGTACTAATAGTTCATTCCTTTTTACGACTGAGTAGTATTCCATTAAATGCATGTACTAGGGCTGACCTTGTGGTATAGAAGGTAAAGCTGCTGCATGCAGTTCCGCATCCCACATGGGTGCCAGTTTGAGTCCTGGCTGCTCCACTTCTGACCTACCTCCCAGCTAACGGCCTGGGAAAAGCAGCAGAAGACGGCCCAAGTACTTGGGCCCTGCAACCCACATGGGAGACCTGGATGAAGCTCCTGGTTCCTGGCTTCAGCCTGGCCCAGCTCCAGCTATTTGGCTATCTGGGGAATGAACCAGCACATGGAAGATCTCTCTGTTGCTCCCCCTCTCTCTGTAACTCTGACTTTCAAATAAATAAATAAATAAATCTTTTTAAAAATGCATGTACCACCATTTTATTAATTTACCTAGTGTCAGACATTTCAGATGTTCCCAGTTTTTAGTTATTCCACAACCTACTCTAGGACCAATGTTTTCATTTCTCTAGGATATTTGTTACTATTTTAAAATTAATCTATCTAGACTGTTGAGGAACAGGTCTCTTAGTTTCTTTATTCCATTGTTTCTTTCTTTCTTTCTTTCTTTCTTTCTTTCTTTCTTTCTTTCTTTCTTTCTTTCTTTCTTTCTTTCTTTTTCTTTTTCTTTCTGGGACTAAACAGGAGAGGGAGGAGGAAGGGGGGAGTGGGTGGGAGGCTGGGTACAGTGGGAAGAATTACTGTGTTCCTCATGTTGTATTTATGAGATACACACAAATAAAATCCATGTCGGGGAGCAGGCATTTACCCTAGTAGTTGGGACACGGCCAGGATAAGCACATCCGTTCCTGGCTCTGCCCCCTGACTCCAGCTTACCCTCAGTGCAGACCCTGGAGGCAGTGGTGGGATCCTACCGCCCGCAGGGAGACCTGCATGCGTTCTGGCTTCTAGCTCTGACCCTGGCCCAGCCCTGAGCACTGTGGGTGTTTGGGGAGTGAACCAGCAGATGGGAACTCTGTCTCTTTTTGCCTCTCTAATAAATAGAAAGTGAATAATCCAATGTAGTTGAAGCCCAGCGAGTCCATCCTGACTTTTTTTTAATATTTATTTATTATTTATTTGAAAATCAGAGTTGGGGGGAGATATATATATATGTGTATATATATATATATATATATAGAGAGAGAGAGAGAGAGAGAGAGAGAGAGATTGAGATTCTATCCACTGCTTCACTCCCCAAATGGCCGCATCAGCCGAAGCTGGGCCAATCCAAAGCCAGGAGCTTCTTCTGGGTCTTCCTCGTGGGTGGATGCCGGGACCCAAGGACTTGGGCCATTTTCTGCTGCTTTCCCAGGCACATTGGCAGGGAGCTGGATCAGAAGTGGTACAGCTGGGACTTAAACTGGAGCCCATATGGGATACCGGCACTGCAGGCAGACGGTGGCTTAACCCAGCGCACCACAGCGCAGCCCCTCACCCAGATCTTTACAGGCAAATGTGGAAGCAGCGAGGGGCTTGGCTTTTCTGTGTTTGCTTTTGCAGAGTTGTCGTTGCCCTTGACTGACAGGGGCCAGCCAAGCCCCTTGGCCTTGCTGCCAGTGGGAGTTTCAGATGCAGTATAGCCAGGCAGCACGAGGGGCAGCCGGGCAGCTGAGACCTAAACATGTAAACAAGAGAGAAAAAAACTAAACACAAACATTTACCATAGAAACGGAAGCCAGGTGTCACTCAACAGTAACTGATTCCTGCTCTTTATTCAGTCACCCCGGGTTTATGGGCACTGCTGAAGGCCAGGTGACTAAGGCCCCTCCTTTGAGGAGCAGAGTCCAGTGGGAGAGAGGGCCACTGGGAGAAAGGACCCCGGGGGCAGGAGAGCTCGCAGGGGCCACCTGGGCCTGACTGCAGGAGGCCGGGTGGGGGTGTTGTGGGGGCCCAGCAGGGCCGAGCGCCCTGAGCTAGAGGTGGTGACACCAGCACAGACCACAGGGCTCAGTGGGCACTAAGTGAGAGGGAAGCTGCAGCGTGAGCCTCAAAACTCGTGCCTTCCTCCCCCTTACCTGGATCCCACCCCAAAAGCGCCCTTTGCTGGGTGGGCACAGTTCCCACTCTCAGGCCAGCTCCCTGGGCTGGACGGCACAGCAGAGAGAAAACTCAGGCCCAGGGCCGGACACCCGGGCCAGGATCCCACCAAGCCTTCCACGAAGGTCATGAGTTCCTCCCTGAACTGCTGGGCAGAGGGGATGGGTCACTGTGCTCTGTAGGAGTCGGCGGGTTACCACGGGTGTGGCAAGCGGTTCCCACATGGCCTGGCATTCAGTGCACGAGTCGCCTGTGGCTGGGGACCCTGCCTTGGTTATACAGCACAGATCTACTAATAGAACGTTCCCTCCCTGCCGCTCCCCACCCCCTACACACACACATCCTGCTTCCAGCGGCCATTGCAGATAACACAGGTGAGTCTGGCTCATCCTTCCTCATTGCCCCCACCATCCACCCTGCACCCACTGCCCGTGACCTCCCAGTGCACATGAATGACTCATCCCAGCCTCTCCCTATCCCATATAAATACACCTGAGGCCAGGTGGAGCATTGCACTTCTTGCCCCTGCTCTGCACTCCACAGGTAAGGAGCTGGCTCTGCAGGCTGGGGGCTGGGGGCAGCAGGGTCTGCAGAGTTTGTTGCATTACCATGAGCTCATGGTCACTCTGGGTAGGGGTGTGTGCACCCCTACTGAACTGAACCTGTCTCTGTGCCTCCAAGTCTGTGTGCGCCTTGTGCATCTGCCTGTGTTGCTGTCTCCCAGACAGTGAGTGCAACCTGTGTGTGTGTGTGTGCTGTGTGCCTGTGTACCTCCCTGCATGTCTACCCATCTGCCCTGGGCCCAGTGCCATGCTGGGTTATAATTGGCCTGCAACCTTGGCTATGCCTGGCAGATGCCAGGCAGAGGGGTTTAGCTGAGGGTTGCAGGGACTGCATTGGGTCCACTCCAGTGCTGCCAACTCCTGTCCCCAAACACCAGTCCCTGAACTGGGGGGAGTTGGTCCAAGGACTTGGTTTTCTGCTACTACTAACTCAGATCCTGAATGCCCTGAGGGTGTTCTTGGGAAGACTTATTTTATTTATTTGAAGGCTAGAGTGATGGAGAGATGATTAGAGAGAGATGTCTTCCATCCACTGGTTCACTCCCACCTGGGGCTGGGCCAGGTGAGAGCCAGGAGCCTGGAACTCCATCTGGGTCTCCCATATAGGTACAGGGGCCCATGCACTTGGGCCATACTGAGCGCTCTCCCAGGTGCATTCGCAGGGAGCTGGATTGGAAGCTGCTGAGCTGTGACGTGGGCCCCCTGAGGTTGTTTTTATGTCCTTCTCTCCAAGTCCATCCACAGCTGTCTCTTTGAGTCTCATTATTGAGGGAGGAAGGATGAGGGGACAGGAAGGACCAGGGCCATAGTTCAGAGGCTGAGTTCACCTGAACATTGTGGGACAAGGAGGGGTCAGTGAAAACGGATAGCTCAGGAGGTGCAGGGCGCAGGGCCTGGCAGGGGTGGGGCTGTTGCATGGGGAGGAGGGGACAGATCTATGAGCATGTGTGCTTGTGTACCAGAAGGCCCTGGTGGCAAGGGTTTGGTCCTGCTTGTTCATACTACATCCTGACTTGGGGGTGAGAAAAGAAAATGAGCATGCTGTGTGTGCACTGGGTCCACGCCGGGCTGTCCCTTGTGACTTGCATGCACACCCAAGTAAGATGGAGGCAGACCTGCATCTGATGAGAATCTTATTGATGCAGGACAGATCGGCTCAGACCCCAGACCTCCCTCCTGCTTCCAGTCCTGGCAAGAGGAGAGAGGAGCAAGCAGGCAGGGCCCTGGAAGGTTTCCATTCACTTGGATTGCAGGGGCAAAGATCACAGGGTCCCTGGGGTCACCAGAGACCCCTGCTCACCACCCCTAGTCTGCCCTCGGGGCCTGGGGACACAGATCTCTCCCAGCTTCCCTTCCCAACCCTGAGCCAGGTGTTCACACAGGGACAGGTGTACCAAGACCTGGCACACACAGGCGGGCAATGTTAATAATTAACGTGATTGAAATAGACTCAAGGGGAATTGAATTAACACATGATTGTAAGTCTTGGGGGTGGATGGGGGTGTCGGGTGCAGGAATACAGGGTTCAGGGGCTGCTGCATGGTACTGCCTTGTCTCTGCTCACCACACAGGCAAACCCTCAGTGTCCATTTAACACCTGTGCCTGGCATGTGGAGTGCCAGCTCCATACTGGGTGCCAAGCCAAGCCAGAGGGAGTTTTTTTTTTTTTTTTTTTGACAGGCAGAGTGGACAGTGAGAGAGAGAGACAGAGAGAAAGGTCTTCCTTTGCCGTTGGTTCACCCTCCAATGGCCGCCGCGGCCAGCGCGGCGGCCGGCGCACCCGCTGATCCGATGGCAGGAGCCAGGTACTTATCCTGATCTCCCATGGGGTGCAGGGCCCAAGGACTTGGGCCATTCTCCACTGCACTCCCTGGCCACAGCAGAGAGCTGGCCTGGAATAGGGGCAACCGGGACAGAATCCAGCGCCCCGACCAGGACTAGAAACCGCTATGCCGGCGCCGCAAGGCGGAGGATTAGCCTAGGGTGCCAAGCCCAGCCAGAGGGAGTTTTATTTCTTCCATCCTCTGAAGGGGCTGCGTGTGTGTGTCCCTGGGAGGGAAGAGGGAAGGTGTTTGAGATTTAGATTACAGCCAACTGAGACGCTGCCTGTTGAACCACAGGTGTTCCTTGTGTCACTCGCTGCTCTTGCTCCTTAGAGATGCACCCAGGTAAGCCCAGTGGCCTGGAGGCCGTCGGGTGGAAGAGGAAGGGAGGAAGGGAAATGGGGGAGGCTGGGCAGTCAGCCACACTCAGTGCCTGCCAAAAATGTGTGTGTGTTTGTGGAAGGTGGCAGTAGGGTTCCAAAATGAAAACAGGCCCTGAGAGTTGGAGAACAATTTACCCAACCTTCATCTCCCTCAGTCTCCTTCCTCGGGAGTGACACTGGCAGGTGCTTTTCCCACTGCACACAGGGCCTGGGGAAGTTAGGGGTCACATAAAAAACCATCCAGCTTCCAGGAGACAGCGGGTGATTGCCCCCCGAGGAGCACTTCAGGACGCCAGACCACTTAGTCTGGTCACTACAGAAGTAAGCCCACGGGCCCCACAGCTAGGAGGCTGGATGGGCCCTTCTAAGTGGGTTTCCCATGGGGGTTGTCATGGGGTCGAGCCAGAGAGAGCTCCAAGTGGCGGGAGGCAGGAACAAAGGCCAAGACCTGGGACCAGAAGCTCATAAGCAGGAGCCAGCAAACCCCTCTGGGAGCTGAGCAGAGACTGGGCTAAGTGGGCCACAAGGGGGCACACTGGGGGATGGGATGTGTAGGGTTGGAAGCAGAAGAAGCAGGGTTCCCCTCTGCATGTGCCTCCCCTATTGTCATGGAATTTGGCCCAGGTTGGGAGGGCAGATGATCTGTGGTGTGAAGACAGGAACGCACTCCTCCCAACTGTCCCCACGCCACCGGGGAGACCGAGCTAGCTCCTGCACAAGCTAATGAACTTGTGTGGCTTTGAATATGAGTCCGTTGTTGGGAGAGTGAATGAGGGAATGGTTGGCAGGCGAGTGACCAAGTCTCAGGAGCTCAGTTGGGGCTAGGGGTGTGGGTACAAAACCAGCACCAGGGGGAAGACAGGTGTTTTCAACAGAACAAAATTACCAAAGCGGCTGCTTTTCTTTGCTTCGTCTCCCACAGGTCCCAAGGTAGGAAAGTTCTCCTGTTCTCCACCCTGCTGCTGTGTCCTCCAGACCCCAGCCTCCACCCCAGAGCCTCGGGAAACAAGCCACCACTTCCCCCAGATGAAGAGCAGGGCGTGGGCTCAGGCAGCAGCCCCGCAGGGCGGGCACTGCTGCATTTGTCCACCCCCTGCCGGCTGCAGCCTCCCCTTGGCATTCTCTCTGCTTTCCCATCTGTCTCCCCAGCCACCAGTCCTCTCTCCTGCTGCTTCCCCGCCTGTTCCCGCTTCTCTGCTTTCCTGCTACCCCCACAGCACTGCTAGATGGCTGGCTTGCTCCCAGTTGCCCTGTTGGGGCCCCCTGGACCTGCCTCTGCGGAGAAGGGAGGCTGCCCTCCCTCCCCTCTCTCCTGCCACCACCACCAGCAGATGCAGCTCCCAGGCCTGGGTCTGTGACCCCGCCAGGAAAACAGCCACGGAGGGAGAGGCAGACGGGGTGGGAAGAGGCTGTTCCAGGCATCGCTGAGCCTGGATGAGGAAGGGGCTGGCCTCAGGAAAGCCCCCAGCCCTGGAGCCAGCCTCTTCCCCATTGGTGCCAAGCCCTATCCAGGCCCTAAGGGCAGAAGTGACCTGGGGAGTCCTCCAGTGCCTGCGGTGGGGGCTCAGCTCCAGCCTGGCTTCACAGGGCCCCAGGCCCACAGTGCGGAGCACAGAAGCAAGGCGGAGTCTCCCTCCTTTTCCCTGGCCCTGTAGCAAGAGGCAAACAAACCTCTGTGGTCTTAGGGCCTCAGGAGGGGTTCCAGCCAAGACAGAAGGTTAAGCCACACTTTCCCCAGGCCTTTTGCCTGAGGCAGGAAAGCTTTGACTTTACTTCCATTTAAAAAATCGTATAAAGCTTTTTTCTTTTTTTTTAAAGATTTATTTTATTTATTTGAAAGACAGAGTTACAGAGAGAGATAGAGACAGAGACAGAGGTCTTCCATCCACTGGTTCACTCCCCAGATGGCCACAACAGCCAGAGCTTGTCGATCCGAAGGCATGAGCTTCTTCCAGGTCTCCCACGTGGGTGCAGGGGCCCAAGGACCTGAGCCATCTTCTACTGCTTTCCCAGGCCATAGCAGAGAGCTCAATGGGAAGAGGAGCAGCTGGGACTAGAACCGGCACCCATATGGGATGCTGGCACTTCAGACCAGGGCATTAACCCACAGTGCCACAGCACTGGCCCCAAGCTTTAAAAAAAAATCTCTATTTTTGTTTTATTTGAAAGGCAAAATGACAGACAAAATGTAACAACCAGGGCTGGGCCAGGCTGAAGCCAGGAGACTGGAACTCAATCCCACGTGGTTGGCAGGGACCCAAGCACTTAAGCCATGAGCTGCTGTCAGTGCACATTAGCAGGAAGCTGGAGTCAGAAGCAGAGCCGGGAATCAAACCCAGGCACTCCGACTCGGGATGTGAGCAGCCCAAGCAGCATCGTAACCACTGCAAATGCCTGCCCCTGACTTCACCTTTTATTCTTCCTGATTTCTAGGGTCTGGCACTTGCTCAGGGTCATGGGCTCACATACACCCATTCTCATATATCCATGCATCCTATGCACATATCTACGTACACAGCAGGCATGTACCCACCCATTCACATGTCCACAGACATGGCTGTTTGTATGTAGATGAAGGATACCCGGCCTGCCACCAAACCCCTTGCTGGTGCCAGGAATCCCAAGTCCCCTGGGGAGGTGGCTTGAGGGAAAGCTGATCTCTAACTCATTGCCCATTTGCCTTTCCACAGGGACGGTGCTCTGGTGGCCATCCTCCAAATTGGTGTGGGCCTCCTCCTGGCCATGGCCCAGGGCACTTTTGGCCCCATCCTGGCCATGGCCCTGGGCACTGTAGGCCCCATCCTGGCCATTGCCCAGGGCACTGTGGGCCCCATCCTGGCCATGGCCCAGGGTACTTTTGGCCCCATCCTGGTCATGGCCCAGGGCACTTTTGGCCCCATCCTGGCCATGGCCATGGCCATGGCCATTGCCATTGGCACCGTCGGCCACATTACTGAAGAAACAGAAGAAAACAAGCCGAAAGAAGGAGGAGCCTGAGTGGACTGCCCCGTGGATCTGGCATGAGGCCCGAACAGAAATCCTGTCTTCCTAATAAACAGCCTGTTGAAGGCCATGTCTGTTCTTCAAAGAGCCTGTCTTCCTTCAAATCCAACCTGGGGGCCCAGTGTCTCTGATTCCAGTATGAAAAGGAGGTGTGCAGCCTGGCCGGCTCAGAAGCTTGGCTCAGTGGCGCCCACAGCGTGTGGTACCTCATATAAGGTCACAACTCTTCCTGGTCACCCTGCCCCCTCCCATCAGGGGACCCCGAGTATGGCCTCGTCACCTGCCCCCTGCACCTGCACTCCCAGAGCCGGTGGGCCTTCCAAGGTTCCAGTCTGCGTGCCTCAGTCTGTGGGTCAGAAGCCTTCCATGGCCCCTTACCACCCAGATGGCTTTCTTACCATTCCCTGAAACACACTGAACTTGGCAATTCCCCTGCCTCCCACCTCAAGTCAAGGCTGCTTTCCCTCTCTCTTACCTCCACATTCCCAAAGGCCCCCAAGCCAGGGCTGCCCTACCATCACTACCCTTCCCGGGCCTGTTGGGAAGGAAGAGGTTGTCCCTCTTTGCACAGGGCTCCTACCTTGCAGCAAGCTCCAGGGAGCAGAGGGTATCACCAACTCACGGCCCCGCCCACACCCCGCCCAGCTGGCTCCAATTTAGGGCCTGGCCCTTTATCTTTCCAACCAAACTGTGAGCTGCTCGGGGCAGACCCACCATTTGCACACTGTGGGGAGCAGGGCCCATTGCCCGGGAGACAAATAAATACTGAGGACAAATACTGAGATTACCGAGACTAGACTAGACTACTGGAACTGCTAAGACTACCTCTATGCATCTGATCTCCCACCATATGGCGCTGAGAGGGAGTAAACAACTTCCACACAGCTGCCTCACCAATTCGACTGACAAGCTGCAGGAGCTGATCCTGCCCCTGATTGGAGGAGAGCAGTGTGCTCAGCGCATGGGGAGAGAACACCAGGAGAGTTGGGATTGGTGGAAAAGGTCTATAAAGGAGGAGAGAGACAACATGCAGGAGGAACATCTGAGGAACCTCTGAGAGAGCCGGCTGCCGGTGTGCCGGTGTGCCGCTCCTCCGTGGAGGCGGGGGCAGCAGTTAATCCGGGGGGGACCAGGGGAAGAAACAACAGCAAATCCGTTGCCGCTCCTCCGCGAGCCTGCGGGGCGAGCGACAGCACACCTCTAGATTCTCCCGCCCCAACCTCTAACCTGTGCCTGGTATGGAACTGGCACTGGCACACATTTCAGGGAAGGCTGCAATCCAAACGCCCCCAGAGTTCTGACTCTTCCCAGCCTTATGCCTTCAGCCACGGCACCTTCCTGTACCCAAGGCCAGGCCCTGAACAGCCTGCTTGCTGCGAAACCCTTTCTGCTTACCCTATCCAAACCCCAGATCCTGACCCGACCGCCCAGGCTTGGCGCACCGCCCCCATTTCTTCTGGCCCTGCCACCCTCTAGCCAGGCCTATCTATGGGTCACCAGACCCAGATGTGCCCTACCCTCTGCCCTCACGTAGCTGCCTCCCGAGAAGGGGGCCAGCCAGCGGCCTGGAGTCTGGAGCCTGGGTCCCTGCCAGGCAGCCGTGGGACCCAGGGGTGGCTGTGAGAAAAGAGGCTGGGGAACCTCCAGGGTCTCCCTTCTCCATCTTCATACCCCGAGGCCCGGTGCAGACAGATGAACGGGAAGAGACTGGAGCAGACTGGAGAGGAGGGCGCGAGCGGAGACAAATGTGGGACTCGCCCGACCTCTCGGCCACTCGCTGTCCCGCTCTACGAAGCGCGGGCGTGAGGCCGCCCTCTGTGCGGCTGGATGAGTCTGTCTTTGGAGCTGCGAGGCTCTCTGCACGTTGTGAGGATCGAGGTCCACCGCAGGAGCCGCACCGCCAGGGAGGAGGCGCCCGCCGCGCCAGCTCCACGGTCTTCCAGACAGCTGGGCTGCAGCACCGCACGGCGCCGCCTTGGGTCCTGAAGGGGAGCAGCGGCCCGAAGAGGAGCCCTTGGCTCCAGACGGCAGCTCCCCGGACAGGTACGGTGGTCGGCTCCGCAGACCCAGCTCGCAAACCATCCCAGCCCCTGGTTAGGACGCTGAGGGCTCCCACACTCCTGCAGTGCCCTCAGAAGTGCTGGCTTCCCTTGACTCAAAAAACTGACTCTCCAAACAGGGGGCTGGCTCCCAGGAAGTCCAGCACTGAGTGCTGCTGTCAGGCTGTGGGCAGCTGGCACGGACCCCTCACCTCCACCTCGACTCCCCGTCCTCCTGACTCTGGGAAGGCAGGCCCTGCTGTGTAGAGGGAAGCCAAAGCTGACAGATCATCCTCAGGCCTTCAGGACCCAAGCCAGACCGAGCCCAAGGCCAAGCACATGGCAAGTGCTCAAAAAAACACTTGCAGAATTAGGCCGGCGCCGTGGCTCACTAGGCTAATCCTCCGCCTTGCGGCGCTGGCACACTGGGTTCTAGTCCCGGTCGGGGTGCCGGATTCTGTCGCGGTTGCTCCTCTTCCAGGCCAGCTCTCTGCTGTGGCCAGGGAGTGCAGTGGAGGATGGCCCAAGTGCTTGGGGCCTGCACCCCATGGGAGACCAGGAGAAGCACCTGGCTCCTGCCATCGGATCAGCGTGGTGCGCCGGCCGCAGTGCGCCGGCCGCGGCAGCCATTGGAGGGTGAACCAACGGCAAAGGAAGACCTTTCTCTCTGTCTCTCTCTCTCACTGTCCACTCTGCCTGTCAAAAAAAAACAAACAAACAAACGAAAAAAAAACTTCAGAATTAAAATCTCTAAGACATGGATGTTTGCCCGTGTCTCCCAGAACACTCACCTGGCTTCCCTTTGGTCCACAGAGATGCTTATGTCAATAATTGTGTGGGGATCATCTGAGGTCTTGCTTTAAAGACTTTTTATTTATTTATTTGGCAGGTAGAGTTACAGAGAGAGAGAGAGAAAGAGAGACAGAGAGAAAGGTCTTCCTTCCATTGGTTCACCCCCCAAATGGCCACTACGGCCAGCGCTGTGCCGATCCGAAGCCAGGAGCCAGATGCTTCCTCCTAGTCTCCCATGTGGGAGCAGGGGTCCAGGCACTTGGGCCATCCTCCTCTGCACTCCCGGGCCATAGCAGAGAGCTGGACTGGAAGAGGAGCAACCGGGACTAGAACCCAATGCCCATATGGGATGCCGGCGCCACAGGCGGAGGATTAACCAAGTGAGCCATGGCGCCGGGCCCTGAGGTTTGCTTTAAAACAGCTTTGGTCCAATAGGTATTTTTCTACATGTTGAATTGGGAAAAAGGAGTATCATTAATTCAATTCAAATCATGAGGTCAAATTTTGATGCAGCTTTTGGCTAAAAAGGAAAGCATTAACAATTAAATACAGAGTGAGATTCTCAATGTATGAGAAGTTCTAAAATGGAGATTATGTTACCTGAAGTGCCAAGAGGACAGGTGGTCAATACAATACACTTCTTTAGGTACCTGCTTCCTGCTGCGGTGAGCGTGCGATGCAGCGGGAAACCAAATGCGTCCTGCACACGCCAGGCTGCACGTCAGGCATCTCGCAGGCGTTAGCCACCGCAGTTCATGCCCATCGCAAGCCCGAGAAGTGGGCTGCGCAGCACAACCTCAGCAGACAAGGATGCCAGCTTTCCTGAGGCTCCAGGACTGAAGGAGGAGGGAGTCAGGAGCCCACCTCCACTGCCCTGGCGTGCTACCCTCAGCCTGGGGTCATTCCGCCCCAGACTGTGGGGTCAGCCTTCTAGAAGAGCTGCTATTCTGTCCCTCCCCTTGCCTGTGGGCAGAACTCAGCCTCTGTGTGTGATGTCCACCTGCTACGGAGGCTGGACTCCAGGCCACAGCTCCCTAAGCAGTGCTGCAGGAAGGGCTAGAGGCCGCGGTCTGCTCAGCTGAGACTCCCACGGCAGCAGTGAACGTTCTGGTGGCCCTGGTAAGCCAGAGCGGACAGGGGAAAGGGGATAGGGCTGTGCAGGGTGGCCCAGCCCTGAACCTCCTTGAGAACCCCCATTGCCCCCAGGCATTCTGTTCTGTGCTCAGCCTTTCCTGTCCCACTTCTGGCAGACCTGCTCCTGGGAGGACACTCCACCTCCAGGAGCCAACCGGTGGGGCTGAGTCCATGTGCAGAGTGTTGCCCTGGTGAGCAGTTTTGCGAGAGGAATCCATTGCTGATTCCTTCCCGGCCCTTTCCACGGGCGCTCCAATTCCCTCTCCCAATTGTGCACACACTTGCGAAGCAAACCTGCTCTGTGCAGAGCCAGTGACAGGGTTGGCAGAAGGGCAGCAGCACTTTTGCAAAACTCTTGCTGACTACCCCCAGCCCTATCAAAGTCTGGCCCCTCGCTGGGCCCCCTCAGACCTCTGTGACTTCCTGTCTCACAGCACTCAGAATGCTCGCCTGGCCACATCTCTCACCCCCTGGGAGTGCCTACAGGGCAAGGACTGGGTCCTACGCATACCAGCACCAGGCGCAGTAGCCAGTCTAGCCCTCAGTATTCATTCAGCAGCACTTCCTGGGCACGGCTGTGTGCAAGGTGCCATTCAAGGATGCACTGAGGATGCAGATATGAACTAATGCCTCAGGTTCCTGTCCTCCCAGGGCTCACAAGCCATCTGAGAGACAGGTGAGCAATGACAGAGGCAGGCATTTGGTGCAGCTTAGAACACAATATCACAATGCCTGGTTTTAGTCTCGGCTCCTCCACTTCAAATCCAGCTTCCCACGAATGTACGCCCTGGAAGGTATCAGCTGATGGCCCAAGTGCTTGGAGTTCTGCCACCCAGAGTGAGTTCCAGGCTCCTGGCTTTGGCCTGTGTCAGTTTTGGCTGTTGCCGGCATTTGAGAAGTGAACCAGAGGATGGAAGATCTCTGTCTGCTTTTCAACTCAAGTGAACATAAATAAGTTTTTAAGAAAGAAATATGACAACTCCCACACCCGCTTCGGGGCTCTGTGCCAGAGGACGGCAGCCAATGAGTGCTGCCCCAGCTGGTCTCTGGGCAACTACGTGGCTGTGCTCTCCAACCGCTCCTCCTGCCTGGACACCACCCACGCTGACACAGCCCGCATCCT